AGAAGAGCCTGTACCTCAGACATGCAAAGTGCCAGACACTCGGTGGCACTTTAAATGCCACAGATAAAACAGTGAGAGACTTTCCTGGTGGCAGGTGAGAGGAAGGGTCAGGGCCCTCGGGCCTCTGAGGCTCAGATGCTGGGATAAAGAATAAAAACACCTTGGAGAGCCCTGTGACCTCTTGTGCTCGGAGAGAATGTCAATGTGGCCAGCTGGCCCAGGGAGTGTGGAGCCTTGAAACACACACTGGTCAGGCGAGACACCCGGTGGGACTAAGGGCTCACAGGGGTTGGATAAATCCCTTCCAAGGGGCCAAGGCTTAGTGGGGAATATAACTCAGGACCAGAATCTACTCCCTTATTACACACAGGCCAGTGTCTCTGATGGATGCTCACCAGCTCACCAGCGTATGCAGAGAGTGGAGCTCACCTTAACTCCGTTCACACTTCTTAAGTGACATCTGCGTGATGGACTCGTTTGCCCTTCTCCTGATGACCACTCTGGCAATCAACTAAAGGGTTGTTAGTTTTGTACTGCTGCCTCCTTGGCTGGAATGTAAGCTGCATACAGGTAGGCCCTGTTCACTGAGGCTTCCAGGGCCTGACTGGGCTTGCATGATAGGACACTGTGCCTGCATATTGTGTGTGTGCAGGTGTGTGTCTCTCCCTTAGGTGCCCTCTCTCTGTCTGTCTGCCTCTGACTCTTTGGCTACAACCCTTGAAGATCTTCAGAAACCACCTTCCCCCACCATCCAGTCCCTCTGTGGATTTGTTCCTCTGACCCTTGTCACTAAGAAAGTCTTTTTTTTTTTTTGAGACAGAGTGTCACCCTCAATAGAATGCCATGGCACCATAGCATCATAGCTCACAGCAACCTCAAACTCTTGAGTTCAAGAGATCCTTTTGTCTCAGCCTCCCAAGTAGCTAGGACTACAGGCACCTGTCACAACACTTGGCTATTTTTAGAGATGAGGGGTCTCGATCTTGCTCAGGCTAGTCTTGAACTCCTGAGCTCAAGGCAATCCACCTTGGCTTCCCAGAGTGCTAGGATTACAGGCACGACCCACTGTGCCTGGCCACTGAGAAAGTCTTATTGGTGATTATCCCTCCAATCTCTCTCTGTCTGAAGTGGTAAGCAGCCACCAGGGTGCTGCCACGCAGAGGCATTACTGTCCTGCCCGTGACTATCCCCAAAGTGGTGGTCAGGGTGGGGAGAGGGGTGACATGAAGCCTGGTGCCTCCTCTGAGGCCTCCTACCTGTTTAGGTCCTGAGCACTTGCATTCCTTCTTTCTTAGACTCTGTCTCCTGGGAAATGGTACTTAAAGAGATTGAAGAGTTTAATACAACCCTCACTTCCTCTCTTTTCTGAGGCCCTCTGAGGAAGCCACAGAAGCAGCGGCTGGCTGGCGGGGGCTCCAAGAGCCCTGGGTGAAGGAGGAGGGGGTGGCGTGGAGCCTCAGCCAATTTGGAAAGCACTGTGACCCAAGCACATTTTGCAGCAGCAATGTCAAATTCTGCCGTTCAGACATGCCATTAGTGTACATGCTGCCACACAGAAATCGGTGACACAAAGGCACAGCCTTCCCCACCCTCCTGGAGCTTAGAACCTAATGGCTCTAATGAGAAATGAGAGCTGAGAGGAGAGAGGTGGGGGCGGGCCCCATCCGTGCAGGCTGGTGCTGTGTGCTGGAGGAGGCTGACCCACTTCTTTTGGAGGTAAGGGGCCTTGTGGGCCAGCCTGCAGAAATGCCACTTAAATTAACCACTGCGCCCTGCAGAAGGTTCTCCTTTGTCCAAACTCCTCACTCGGTGCTCTTGGAGAGAGCCCTGTCAACCTGGCAGCAGGACCACCCTGTTCCCTGCTTCTCTTCCTCCCCTGGTCCCTTCACACAGGGAGCTGCAGGACCCCAGCTCCCCCAGCTCCCCCAGCTCCCCCAGCTCCAGCAGCCTCTTAAGGGAGACAGGCCAGGACCACTGGGTTGAGAGCACCCGGGGTGGGTGCGCAGCAGGCCGAGCCTCTCTTTTTTCCTGGCTGTTTGATTGTGCTGTGAGTTATTTAGCCAACAATAGGTGTTTATGTATAGTTTTTTGAGCTCGTATTTATTAACAGCCTGAGAAGGGGGAGATTGGGAGATTTATCCTGAAAGCGCAGTGAGTTAAAAGGAACAATTAGAAGAGCAAAAAAGAGATATCGAGCACAGAATTGTAAAGGATATTTTAATGCACAATCAAGGTTCTTAAGATATTTTCCAAGTAGACAGAAAGTAAAAGAAAATTGGCCCATTATGAGCTGATAGTGGGGACTGGTGATATGGGGTGTGGAGGAGGTAATGCTGGAAAGATAGGCACAGGGCCAGGGGTGGAGGGGGGTGGCTGAGCAGGCAGAGGCTTTTGGGTGGGTGCTAGGCAGGCCCCCCTCATGCCTGCACGGCAAAGACACATCTGAAGAAAGGCTGGTTCTTCGAGTCTGCCTGGGCACTGAAGGGTATATGCCAGAGAGCTGGTACAGATGTGAAGGGGACTTGCCAAGGGCTCCCAGGGCTCCATGAGCCTCCCCTGGGAACTTCTTTCTGTCATCATTCCTGGACCTGCACCTGCATTTGACCCCACCCTCTGGCTCTTCCAGCCCTCTCAGACCAGCTCACAGGCCTTCCTGGGGCCCCCTCTGATCCCCAGCAGAGTGATGGGTGATTAATTGGGTGATGAGTAAACATCTGCTGGATGAAATTCTTGGCTCTCTGGGAGTGATCAGCACTAGCAGGAGAGGAGGGGAGATGCAGCTGGGGAGAGGGGGAGGAGATGGCCAAGGCCAGCCAGGGTGGCATGTGCAGAGGGATGGGGGCATCTGGGCAGGTGTCTGGAAGCAAGGAGGGGGCTAGGGCAGTCTGTGTGGCAGGGAAGCAGGGTGCACAGGGCTGCCAAGACAGCATGGTCATGGAATAGTTCCCGAGCCTGGAAGCAGCAGGTGTCTGGGAATGGGACTGTGGCCCAGGCAGATTTCCAGTGAGCGCTCAAACTTGCTGGCACAAGGGAATGATCTGGCTGAACACAAAAGGCAAGTTGCAATGATGAAACCCACTGTCGAGGAATCTCAGCAAGTATGCCACAATCGGGAACCATGTGCTCATAGAGAGGCTGGGGGCAGCAGGAGGAAGACCCTGGGTTCCTCCACTCCCAGAGCAGAATCTGAGTCCCTGAGCAGGATCCCCTGGGCCTTCCCCTCACCAGGCACAGCTTCCACACCCTGAACTTGCGGTTGTTTGTAGATACCCTTGATGCTATTGCCCACCTCATGCCCTCTGCTTGGAATACTCACATCCTTCTCTGGCTGACTCCTCATCCTCTAAGACAACCTTGGGGTGTCACGGGGGAAGCCCTCTCTGACTCCCCCAACCCCAGCTGAGCTCCTCCTTTTGGGGGTTGAGAGGTGCTGACCCAAGCACCAATCTCACACTTGTTGAAAATACTTGTTTCCACACTTGGACTCCAAGCTCCTTGCAGAATGCCACATCTTCTCACTTCATGGCCTCAGAGTCAGGATAATGGCTGGCACACAGAGGCCCTCGATCAGCCTCTGTTGAATTGAGCCATATGGAGCCAGCCGAGCTGTGAGGGTTCATGGGAGGAGCATATGTGGAGAGTCTCCAAGTCTACCAGTGGCCACCCAGCCCCCATGACAGGGCTCTCTCTGTCCTTTGGTCAGCCCAGAGTGCAGGACTGTGTGGCAAGAGGACAGTGAGGGAGAAGAGATGGCTTCCTCCTGGGGATAACGGAAAGTACTGAGCAAAGATGGCAGAGGGGCTGGCCTCAGCCCCGGAGAGGACAGGAACCCACATCTCCCTACTCTGAATGACTCAGGGTGTCTCTGGATCTGGTGAATGGAGACGCCTTCACTTAGCCCCTGATATGTCCACTTGCTTTGTTGTTTGGGGCAATGGCGTCATCATAACCACATAGCACAGGCTGCTGCGTGACAAGTGATATCATCCAAATCAGAGCTGCCTTTATTCCCCCTACCTCTTAGAGGAGAAAGCTTCTAAAAATACACCTGGCGTCCTGGGCCCCACTGCCTTGCTGCCTTGCCTCTAATAACAGTCGGCAACCAGAGACTGTGCTGTGCTTGACAGAAGCGGATCATTTATAAAACATTAGCACTTCTCGCACTGACATTCCACTTCCATATTACAGGACTTATAAGTCTTTTTTTAAAAAATTTAATAAAGTGCTTAGACTCTTGATTTTCCCACTGAGGGCTTTGCTGTCTAAAGTTGAAAATGCAATCAACAGCATAACAACATCCTTGGGTTCTCAGGGACAGCCAGGCCCTGGCACCAGCCTGGGTCAGAGCAGGCAGACCACTGGGGAGCAACTGCGGGCTGGAGATTATTTGTTTTGCAGTCGCCAGGCTCCCTTTAGTGAATGTTCCAAGCCTTGTGCTGAGGAGGATTTGTCCAGCCTGGACTGGAAACAACAGCCCTCCTCCCTCCATCTGAGGAACGCTCCCCTTTCTCCAGCCTCGTCCACTATGGTCGGGGTCAGTCCCTGGCCTTCTAGAAACCATCCTGGGCCCCCAAAATTGACTGTTCCCTTCTAGCCCCTCCAGCCCCCTGAGGATCACTAACTCAGCAGCTGCTGCTGGGGTGGGGGGGCTCTTGGAAACTGGCCAGGGAGGATAAAGGACCTGCTTGCTGCTTGCTCCAGGCAAAGATGGAGATGGGACAGACCCAGTGCAGCTAGAATGTGGGCAGTGAATCATGTTCTGTGCGGGCGAAGGAAGAACCACAGAACAGAGAGGTGTGTGCGCGCGCGCACGTGTGTGTGTGTGTTCCGTGTGTCCCTGTGAGTCAGTGTGCCCCTGCCCCTACGGCTCCTCCCACCAACAAACGTGCTGTGCTTCGTTCTCAGAGCTGTGCCCAGCCAGGCTCGCCCACCCACAGAAGCCCAGGATCTGCCACCCATCAGGAATGCGGGGTTAGGAAATGAAAAACAGGGTTCGCGTCCAAGATAATTTATTATTATTATTATTCTCTCTTAATTGGATTCAGTGTTTCTCGCTCCTCACACACATCCTCTCTGGTGGGGAATTCAGGTTTGTGCAAAGCGCAAAGGAGATTGTGCCCACTGGGGCCCGTGGCCAGCAGTGTGGCCGACTTCCACTAGAGCCCCTCCTCCCTGTCTGGGCTCACCTGCTCCATGCCCTGCATGCTGCCTGTCCCTGTTCCTGACCCCTGAGTCTGGCTCCCTGACCTCTGCCTGTCCCTGGGCATCTCCAGAGGGTCAGGAAGGATGGGGCCTCTGTAATGCAGAAGTGCCTGAGATGGTTCTAGAAATGCCCTCATCGGTTCCCTTCTGCTAAGGCCACCTGATCCCTCCCTCCTGCCAACCTGTGTAGGGTCCTTGCTGAAGAAGAGCCTGAAGGAAAGCTTTAGCAGCTGATCCATGCTGGAGGCCTGGGCTCATGCCCAGTCTCCCTGGTCTGTCCAGACTATCGCTGGCCACACGCAAGGCTGACGACACTGTCCAACCCGTTGGACTAACACTGTGAATGCTGTCTCACCCGCTGGCTTAAAATTCCCAGAGCCCCTTCCTTCTCTTTCTCCTTCCCGCCTGCCCCCAGGGACTGACTCCCTGACATCCAACAAGCTGCTTCTCACTTCTCACCCTGAAGCCAACAGCTACTATAGCAGGGGCCGGGGAGCTCCAGGGTGGCAGACAGGCTTGTGTTGCATATAAAAACAAGGTGATGTTCTAAATATCTAAGAATATTGGTCCCCTGAAGTGATGCTTGCTGCCTCCCCTTCTCCTTAACCCTCCCCACTGACATTTTGCCCCAGGCCCCTGGCAAGCCCGGTTACATAGGGACTATTGTTGCCAGGTTGGGATTCTAGACAAAAATCCTATAACTTTTTTCTTGCTAGAAATCACCAATACAATCCTTAGGTTCAGCAGATATAGTTTTCCGTACAGTTTATAAACATGAAAAGACATACAGTTTGGTAATGGAGCGGGACGGGGGACCTGTGCATCTGTATATCTATGTATATGTAGGGTGTGTATATATATAAGTGGACATAGTTATAAAACTGCACCTTCTGTGAGAACCTCACTGCACGTGATAAAGTTCTAAATTTCAGCCTCTGATGATCTTTCCTTTGGTAATTGGTTCTTGGACCCTAGCAGTTGGGCCTGGGTCTGCCAGGGTTGCCTGAGACATCAGGAATGAGAGGCGTGACCACCGAGGGAGGGGCTAAAGGTGGCATGGGGTTGGATTCAGGGGAGACTGACTAAGCGGCCTCAGGCAAGAGCTGAGATGCCACCTGCGTGCATGTTCCCAGCCTGCTGGTGGGCCCAGGCTCTTGGTGAGCCCCGTTTGTTCTTCAAGTTCTGTATCCTTCAGGAATGCAGGGGGGCCCTTCAAACCTCTCCAGATGATCAAGATTCCACAGAGCCCAGCTCCCATAAGGGGCAATTGTCCCACTGTTGCTAATGAAGGATTCACGTCGTGCACCTTTTACCACATTGTTGGAGTGGACACTGTCTGTGGGTGCTCTGTGGAGGCTGGCTGGGGCAGCTGAGTGAGATGTACTAAACCCCTCCTGCCCAGGGCTGTACACTTTGGGTTTATAATCCACATGGGAGGGTCTAGACAGCAGCCAAAGCCTCTACCAGCCTTTTCCTGAAACTCAGCAGATCCTCCACTTGTAAAAAAGAAAAGAAATTCTGTTCCTTGGTGGACAAGTGGCAGTGCTGGGCGCTGACACCCTGGGTCCTCAGCGGAGAGTGACTGCCAGCCCCAGTATCCAGGCCAAGAGCGAGGCCCCTAGGGAACTGCCCGAGGAGGCCTGCTGTACCCCGCTGGGGGCACGGATGGGGGTCCTGCGGGCACACTTGCCCTTTCTCTTGGGCCGTGCCGTGGGCATGGTGTCAAAGCTGAACTTGTGCTGGTAGTCAGGGGCATAGTCCTGCAGCTCAGGGGCCTGCTTCCCGGTGCCTGCCTTAGAGATCTGGTTGCGGTTTCTGTGGCTGGTGCAGTTCTTGCCTGACTTCTTGTAGCCGGACCGGGAGCCAGGCAGATGGCCGTGGGGGTGACCCTTGTCCCTGGTGGAGCCATGGGACGGGTGGTGCTCCTTGCGGGCAGCCCTGTCGGTGGTGGTGAGCGTATGTGATTTGATCTGGTGTGGGGACACAGGCACGGTGCAGTTCCGGAAGTCCTCAGCCCTCAGCAGCTTCAGGTCCTGGCCACGCCGCAGCTCTGGGGCCACGCAGGGAACAGCGGAGCTGGAGCCTCGGAACCTCTGCAGCCATTCCCACAAGGAGCGCGCCCGGCAGCCACAGTCCCAGGCGTTCCCGTTGAGGCGGAGGAACTCCAGGGCCCCCAGAGGAGCCAGGCATTCGCCCTGTAGCTCGGAGAGGCTATTGTTGAAGAGGAAGAGAGTGGTCAGCCTGCGGAGGTCATGGAAAGCCCTGTGGTGGACCCACTGCAGCTGGTTCTCATGCAGCAGCAGACGGTCCAGGTTCACCAGGCCCCGGAAGGTGTTCTGGCCCAGGCTCCACAGCTTGTTGCCATGGAGAAACAGGTGGCTAAGGTTGACCAGGTCCACAAAGATGTCATCCTGGAGGTACTCGATGTGGTTGTCCTGCAAATAAAGGTACTGCAGGCTGTGCAGGCCACCAAAGATGCCTGCCGGCAGGGCACTGAGCCCACACTTATAGAGGTAGAGGGCGTGGAGCTTCACCAGGCCCTGGAAGGTCTCCGGCGCCAGTGTCCGCAGCTGCCGGTTGTCACCGAGGTCCAGCTCCTCCAGGTGCACAAAGCCCTCGAAGGTGTTGGGGTCGATGAAGGTGATGTTGTTGGAGTAGATCCACAGGGTGACCATGGCAGGGCTGAAGTGGCCCTGCTGGAGGAGCGTGATGCGGTTGTTCTGCAGGAAGATGCGCTCGCTGTCCACAGGGATGCCTTCGGGGATGGCAGCAAAATTGTGCGCCTGGCAGCTGACCGTCATAGGTGCCGGGTAGCACACGCAGTCCCGGGGGCAGCCACCGCCCAGGGGCAGCTCCCCGGCCAGCAGCAGCAGCAGCAGTTCCACACAGCACCCTGGCAGGAGAGAGAGCACAGCCTCATCAGGTGCGCCCTAGAGTGGGGAGGCTGGCGGAGGGGAAGGGCCAGGACTGTTATGGGCCTGACTGTGTTCAGTGGGCTCGGCAAGGAAGCCCCTAGGAGCCTGGCCCCTGACCGGAGGAGAGTGCCCAAGCCGGGACCCCATCTGGGACTAGATACCTCTCCTACTCCTTGGTGCCCCTGGCCTTGCGGGGCAGGGAGGTGAGTCTGGGGTGAAGGCCCTATAAACCCAGCACATCCTTAATCCTTCCTCTGCCTTTGCCACCTGCTGGGGTGATGACCATGACCTACTGCCACAACCAGTCAGCCTCATCCAGCTCTGCCACTGGCTCACTATTATCTGCACTCACAGAGATGGTGCCGATTACTGTTCTAATATAGGAAGTATCTCATGTGGAGTCCTGAGCAATCTTTTTTTTTTTTT